TTTAATTACAATACCTTCAATTTTATATTTTATTCAAAAAATAAAAACATAATCAATTTCTCAAAACCATATAAAATTATATTATATCAATAGACAAAGAATAAAAAGAAACAATAAAATTGAAATATATCTTGCTGCATTGTGCGAGTACCCTTCTAATACATTAAAACATATAACAATTTCCAGATTTTATGGTAAACCGAAGGTCCAAAAGGATCATAGGTGGAGTTTAGGTGCCGTTTATTAAACAATTTACTTTGATAATCACTTGCCGGTTCAATTATCTTACCAGAAGAACATAACAAGGACCGAAAATCTTAAATGATGAGAAAGAAAGAAAAAATAGAAAGTCTTATTCTACAAGTGAGGGTGATGACCTTACCCGATAAGCATTTATTGGGTTATAAACGTTTACCATCAATCCACTTTGATATCCGAGAATGTTAACCATATGGTAAGTTAAAGTGGTGACACTTATTAATAAGAGTTTGATAAACGACCCTATACTCTAATTTTTATGAATTAATTTTTTTTATCATATTAATGCTATTAATAATATAGTATTTGATGACGAATTATAATAAAAATATTTGGTCCAAATGTTTTATGTTGTAATTGATAAAAATGTATATTTTTAAGAACTTCAAAAAACAAAGTGATTAGGGTTCTTACCGGTGAGCATAACAATGGAAGCTTCAGGAAACTGAAACCTACTAATCAGAAGATGTTTCATGTATTTAGCATCATTGATGCATCCCTTAAGTTCGTGTCTGGTGAACTTATACGATACGCCGACTATCACCGCCTTTTTCCTGCCATGTACGGACGGCGGAGGCCCCGGCGGAGCATGGTTGTAAGGCGACGGTGAATTCATATCCGTCGCTAGACCAGGAAACGGAGACATACCGGAAAAAGACAGCGGATCATGGTTGTAAGGCGATAGTGAAGGCATATGCGCTGCCAAACCAGGAAACGGATGAACACCGGAAGGAGACGTCGGAAGAGAAGATCCAGTGGAGTCAGCGATTGAAGTAACGGCTTGACATAGAGCACACCTTATTGATCGGGCTCCTGGAGGTAGATTCAACGATGTGTGGCAATTGGAGCAGTCCACCAGCATAGACATTGTGGAATTCTAGGGTTTCGATCGTGAAGAAATTGGGGAGATTTTGATTTGCAAAATATGATTCGATCAAGTTTAGCTTTTAGACCAAGCGCGTTAAGTAAAGACGTTGGAGATGTTGACGCCAACGCCGTCTGTGTGGGTGCTTAAAAACCTCAACAACCCGAACGTCAAATAATTCAATTCGATGTTTAATCGAGTTTTAAAATTTTCAAACCGTAAGTAAGTATTAGGTTGATATTAGGTTATTATTATTTGAGCCTAACCCAACTCGATGAACCCGATATCTTTTTATTTCTTGGATTTAATATGATTGTTGAGTTTATATTAATATATACATTAGACAGTTACATTGTCACGTACGCTCTTCATATATACATATTTTTAATCTATTCTCCATTTCTATATAATTCATTCGTGTATATGTTCAGTAACTGTGAAACACACACACACACACACACACACACACACA